AAAAAAAAAAAAAAAATGAGAACAATTTTTTTAGGATCGGCTTAAGTATTGGGAAGAGGCCTTGGCTGTGGTTGTTAGTGTGCTTCTGCATAAACTGTATCTGCGCACCTGGACTGTACTTCTGGAAAGAAGAGTTCGACGACATCGAGCTCTTCGTGCCTGACGACTCCGTGATACGCAACGACGCTACCTGGGTGAAGACACACTTCCGGGACGATTTCCGATACGAAAGTATCATCGTCACAGCCCCCAACGTTTTGGAGCCGGAAGTGCTGCGCTCGGTACATAGGCGATCATGAATTATACGAGTATCTGCGAAGGTTCTTTTCCACTTTAACGCATGGTTCTTGTCAAAATTTGTCAAGACTCACGAGATTTACCTAACAGTTGGAATCTGTGAGCTGAACCACTGATGGATTAAATCAGTCGTTGAGCCATTTTCTCCCTTTCAGATTAGCAAGATAGAGCAGACAGTGAAATCTATCGTAGTGGATAATAACACATGGGAAGATGTGTGTGCAGGGTAAGATAAAAATTAACCTTTAATGATTTACCTTTAATGATTTTGTCCTTGTTCTCGAATAACTACATTGAATTACAGATACTTCACGTGGTTCAACATGGACAATAAGACGGACATATTTGAAGACCTTGAAGTCACTGAAGACATCTTGATCGAATTGAACAACACGGTGCTAAAAAACGGATGTATATATCAGTCTATTATACAACTTTGGGAAACCAGTTTAATGAAAGATGTTCGTAATTTGACGAGGAGGGAGGTGCTTGATGATGTGACTAAAGCAATCCGACATAAGTAAGTTATTAAGTAGGTGACAAATTCTTCGGCATATATCACTTCATTTGTTGCAGAATCAACGGTACTATCCTATTAGATGTTGCACCTTTGCTTTCGGGAATTTTCTATGACAAGAAAGGTCGAGTTAAAGGTGCCAATGCAACTATTCTTAATTGGATGTTGAAGAAATCGAATCCAAATTCAGCTAACTGGGAATTAGAATTCGTAAATCGTGTTCTTCATTCGAACGTTACGTTCCCTCCAGGAATGGAAATATATGCAATAGCTTCACGAAGTTACATAGATTCTCTACATCAAATACTGAACAGTAATCTAACAGTATTATGCTGTGGAATCTCTTTGATAGCAATCTATGTAATGGTGATGATCGGTAAATGCAACGCGTTGGAACAACGAATTTATTTGTCGATAATGGGGGTGTTTGTGGTTGGTCAAGCGATTTTGTCCTCTTACGGAGTATGTTATTATTTGGGTTATTCCTATGGGCCTATACATTCCATTCTTCCATTTCTGTTACTTGGTATAGGTGTCGATAATATGTTCGTGATCATGCAGAGTCTGGAAAATCTTTCAGAAACTGACCAATCTACGGATATACCAACGCGTATTGCTAAATCTGTCCAACAGGCTGGTACGATGCTACATTTTGTCATATTACCTTTACTACACATAGTTGTTTCTTCTTATCTTTTATTTTTCATTTTTTTAAGGTATGTCAATCACAGTGACATCCTTTACGAACATAATTGCATTTGCCTTTGGTATAACAACTGTGATGCCGACTCTCAGATCTTTCTACGCATTCGCTACGTTAGGAATTCTATTCTTATACATATATGAAATTATATTCTTCGTGAGCTGTCTTGTATACGATGAAAAAAGGCTCGAGGCTCGTAAGGACGGTTGCTTTTGCCGGCCTAAACTAAATTGGAAACCCAACGATTGCAGCCAACGGAACACCCAACAGATTATTTTTGAAAACTACATCGGCTTGGGAATCACTAAAATTACGACGAAAGTAATTATCCTGCTAATCACTGCCGGCTTGTTGTGCGTTAATACATGGGCAGTGTTTCAATTAGAACAAAATTTTGATCCGCTTTGGTATTTAAATCAAGACTCCTACCCCATTCAGTTCAACAATAAATTGAAACAGTATTTCCCGAAATATGGAAAACGAGCAGCGATTTACATGACCGGCGTGGATTACTACGGCGACCGTACATCTCTTTCTCAATTGATAGAAGTTCTAAGGCATAATCAGTTCATTAACAATAGCACTCTTGATCCATGGTTTATTGCCTATGAGAAATGGCTTAATATTACTAACAAAGGTGAGGCTTGATCTCAAAATAATGTGATTGGAAATAAATTAATTGCAAAATTTTGTAGGTGATATTGAAAGCAGAGAAGAATATTATAATATTTTAACGGAATATTTGCTTTTAACGAAAGAAGGCCAAGCATATATTAAGGACATCAATTTCGATAAATTACCGGCTGGAGAATATAATATAACGGTATTAATAAATATTTAATATAATTATATTATGGTTGTTCGTGTTGCATAGGATTCATTTTTATTTTTTTTTTTTTTTTTTTTGTGACTCAGACGTCGCAAATTCCTATACAACACATTATGATCAATACAACATCGGAACAAATACAAGCAATGCAACTCGTCAGGGAATCGGTTCAAGCAACGAATTTCTCTCATGGACATGATTACATAGCAATATTTTCGCCTGATTACGTTTCATGGACGGCGAACAAAGTGAGGGTCATAATTTTTTGTTCAATAGTTATTACATCATAATTTAATTGTTACTTCTTCATAGGTCATAGGAGAAGAATTGACCAGGAATTTGGGTCTAGAAATAGTAACCATCGGAATAGTAATATTGATATTCCTTAGAAACTTACGAGCATCATTTTGGGTAATTTGTTGCGTATTCTTTACACTTATTGACTTATTAGGTACTATGTACTTTTTGAACTTGACCATCGAAATGTCTTCGAGTATCATGATTCTATTATGTGCGGGACTAGCGGTTGATTATGCCGCGCATATGGGATTAGAATTTATACGCGCAAAGGGTAGTAGAGCAGGTAACTAAAAATATGAATTTCTTAACATATAAAGTTTATAAAAAAGGGATCATCAAATAGATACATTTAAATGGCTTTTATAGAACGTGCGATAGCTACACTTTCTATCATTGGTCCAGCTGTATTTAATGGAGGTTTAAGTACGTTCCTAGCATTCGTTTTGCTAGGTTCTAGCGAAGCTTATTTATTCAATACCTTCTTTAAGGTATTATTTAAAAATTTACGTCACTAAAATTTTATTAATAAATCTTATAAAAATTTCATCATTTTAGTTATTCACGTGTGTAGTGATATTTGGTCTGTTTCATGGACTATTATTTTTACCAGTAATCTTAAGCATAGTGGGTCCTAAAGAGAGAATAAGCAAGGAGAAAAAAGAAACTGTAGTAAGAGAACACAATGGATATTGTAATGTTCCTCTATCTCAAAGTGAGAAAGGTAATATTTTGTAAATAAAATTAGAGGAGAACATTTACAAAATATTTATTTTTTTAAATATTTTAATGATTTCTACTGTTTCAGAAGCAAGGATTAGTACTGCCAAATAAAATTTGACAATGCCTTAAAAACTGCTTAGATAAGTATTTGATATTACTATATAAGATTTTAGAATACAAATTACAATTATAAACAATGCACATGTACTATAAACAAGTTTGTACATTCTTTGTTAATTCTTCCTTTTGTAAAGAAAAAAAAGAAAAATGTACCATTCAAAATAATAAATTTTAGTTATCTTCTCCGTTTACCTCTCACTTCTGTCCATTCATCCACAACTTTCATATCAGCAGATGTTTCTTTCTCACTTTCAGAATTATCAGTTTCCATAGCACAAACAGTTTGGATTTCTTTTTGGATTGGTTTATTTATATCAAGCCACTTTTGTAGTGGCGACAGTTTTGCAAACTCTGCCACTGCCAAGTTCTCATCATTTTCAATACAATACCGATAAAATCTCAATAATTCCTCTGCAACTTGCACTGAACTATTATCTTGAAGTTCTGTATTGAATTGCTCATCTATGTACTTTTCCAATTCATCGGCAATTTCGCTACTATTCAGACCTTCTAAAAATAAAAATATACAAATAATCAATTAAAAAATAATTGGAATAAAAATACAATAAAAAAAGAAATGAGACGAACCGTTCATATACATAACCTCTGTCATATAAAAGCAAAAATCTATTACCATTTCTTTTGTACCCATATCATGTTCCACCGCCATCTAATAAAAAAATATTCCGCAAACAAATAAGACGTAATTACATTATTTGTATATAAATATTCTATTGTAAATTTGAAAAAATAAATACTTACTCTTAATGCAGTCCAGTTACTGAAAATACGTTGTACAACCGAAAGAAAAAATTCTTTTGTGTTTGACATTTTATTTATATTATACTCTATTTTATAAGAAATAAGAAATTTGTAATAATACTTAACTAATAATATTAATAATAATAATAATTAATTACAATTATTTATTGTACCAATGATTGTACACTCCACACTCCGCACGTTGCATTGGCAAATCAGCCATGTGTTTCCAATTTTCAGGTAAAGCTAGGTTGTTAAGATCAGATTAGGTTTTACATTGTAAAGTTGCTCGTAGTTTGTATATGCTGAAACTTTTAAATAGAAATGTATTTCTAAGTATTTTACATTGTTTTTATCAGTATTATAAGGTAAATATTCATATTTTATTATGTAAGTGTAAAAAATAGCATGCAAATAGTTACTTATTTACTTATATATAACACTTCCTTTAAACAATTTGTCATAAAGATATGTCAGACGCTTTCGAGGAAATACAGGCAATTAAAATAAAAAGAAATAGTCTACGAGAAAAATTGCAAAAAAGGAAACGCGAGAGACATGAGTTATTTACTCTTACTTCTGCAACATCAGTATCATCCACCTTGACAAATGAATCACTTCTTTCCAATGGTAATTAATTCATTTATTTTATTTCTTTTCATATATTTTGAACTGAACTTTAAATATGATTTTAAAGTTGTATTTAATTACTGAAAGTATGATATAATTCTTTGTCAGATTCAATGGGACATTCGCACCGATCTGACCATAGTGAATATGAAAGAGATGTGTTATGTATTTTACATGAGTCACTACCCAATTTGCCAATCACATCTGCAGAATTAATAGATCAACTTCGTAAAAATCTCAATGCAGATGTATCTTCTTCAGATATTCATAAAATTTTAGAAAAACTTGCAGCTCAAGATATTGTTAAGTTAGTAAGTTTCTGCATTATCCCGTATCAAAACTTAATATACAGATAAGTAATTGAAGGCTTTTTCAGAATCAAAGAAGTAACAGAAAATGGTGTGTTTGGATATACAGTGTTATCAGTGGCAGAATCACAATCATCATATCAGTCTCAATCAGATGACACAGAAAATGCAGAAAGTGCAGAAACATCTGCATCTGAATTGAATGACTATGTACCTGCGGAAAAGCAACAAAAATTAGATAAGAAAAATACAGAGGATATAATGTCACTTATATCAATGCCTACTATTAGAGAGAAAGAAAATAAGAAGGTTGGAGAACAAATTTTAGATTTGTTGTCAAAACAAACATCTAAGGAAAAATCACTAGCTGAAAGATTTCGGTCTCAAGGAGGAGCACAAGTTATGGAGTTCTGTCCTCATGGCACACGAGTAGATTGTGTCAAATTAAATGGTGGACCAGGATTTGCAGAAAAGTGTAAAAAACTTCATTTCAAAAAAATTATTCAAAGTCACACAGATGAATCCTTAGGTGACTGTAGTTTTCTTAATACTTGTTTTCATATGGATACATGCAAGTATGTATTCTGAATTTAATAATTATAATGTAAAATCATTTTAATCTTTATTTTATTGAAATAATCTTTAATCTTTATTTTATTATGTAGATATGTTCATTATGAAGTGGATGGACCAACAACTCAACCAAAAGAATCAAATGAAACAGATAATGCAAATAATAGTACGGTGAATAAAGGTTTAACAGTAGATAGTAAAAATGGTAGTAGTACTGCTTGTCCAACTCCTAGTGCTTCATTAGGTAGTGAATTGACTCTTTATCCACCACAATGGATACAATGTGATTTACGTTATCTTGATATGACTGTATTGGGTAAATTTGCTGTTATAATGGCTGATCCTCCATGGGACATTCATATGGAATTACCATATGGTACCATGTCAGATGACGAGATGAGACAATTAGGTATACCCACTCTTCAAGATGAAGGTCTCCTATTTTTATGGGTAACAGGAAGAGCAATGGAACTTGGTAGAGAGTGTTTACAGCTGTGGGGATACGAAAGAGTAGATGAAATCATATGGGTAAAGACTAATCAATTGCAAAGGATAATAAGAACTGGCAGAACAGGTCATTGGCTAAATCATGGTAAAGAACATTGTTTGGTCGGCATGAAAGGAAATCCAAGAATTAATCGAGGTTTGGATAGCGATGTTATTGTGGCCGAAGTTCGTGCAACCAGTCACAAACCTGACGAAATCTATGGAATTATTGAACGTATGAGTCCAGGAACTAGAAAGATAGAATTATTTGGTCGACCACACAATGTTCAACCTAATTGGATCACATTAGGCAATCAAGTAGATGGAGTTCACTTAATTGATCCTCAACTTATTAAAGCCTTTAAAAAACGTTATCCAGATGGAAATTCAATGAAACTTAGCAAACTATAAGCATTTTAGACAATGTAATATAAGTGAATAATTATTTTATTACAAATGTTATAAGAATAAAATTGTGTTTAATAAAACTTGAATATAAATTCTCGACTTTTATTTTTTTTTTTATTCTGTTTTAAGATATTTGTAAAAAAATATTTTTACTTTTTAATTATATATACGGGTGTATAACTGTATAAATTATATTTGCAATTACATTAACCGATTCTCTTTCTTTGACTTAAAATTAATATCAAAAATGTTTATACATATTTGTTACAAAAATTTAGTTCATGCCTTAATATTTACGCGCGCGCGCATACACACACACACACACACACACATGCATATATATGATATATATATTATTTTCATGTTAGCACCTCCACTATATTTAAATATAAGATAATATGTAGTTTATATATTTTACATTAATACTATTTGTTTTAAAATATGTAAATAATACATAGGTAAGTACATATGTCAATATAAATAATATTCAAAACTGGAATGTAATCAGCTTAATGAAATGTTAGCAAATTTAGCAAATAATAGTTTATGATACAAAAATATTTCTACAATTGAATTAAGTATTTTTTAACGGATCTAAATTTAATTTCTATTTATATATAGTAATGTAGTGAACCGTAATTAGTTATTGATGTTAAATAAGACCAATACTGCTACGCTTTTGTTTTAAAAAACTCCTTTTCAATGTTAATGAAAAATTATTTTCACTTATTTTATTCATAGACAACCTAGTAGACCGATTTGTTTTTGATGGTGTCAAAATTTCTTCATTTTCTTTTTCATTGTCAATTACATTTTCTATTGAATTGATACTGCATTTGTGAACTTTATTGAATGAATCAATCCAATGTCTTTTTCCATGTCCATCTTCTGTTATTAAAATATGATCTCCAATTTTAAATCCATAGCAAATATCAGATTTTTCATCTGTACTTATGCAAATTTGCTCGTTGGGTATAACAGGACAAAATAAATTGTACCTTTTACTTGCAGATCTTGTACTACGAGTTATTGCAAAACCAGTGTTAAAAAGAAAGCACTGAAATTTCTAAAAATCATTATTTATATATATCATTATGTGTATATAAATTTATATTAAATAAATGATTCAATGACAAATGAATAAATGAAATAGACTCAATTACAAAATAGTCTTACCATTCCCCTTGTATCTTTAAGCTGTCCTTGTGTGATTAATTCTGTTGCATTTTCAATGCATTTAATAGGATCATAATCTAATTTTATATTAATTTTTGACTGAGCCAATTGACATTCTGCATCACCCATGATTTTATCTATATTTTTAAGTAAATTAGATATCAAATCATATGCTTCTTTCAAAGATGTTTGATCTATATGTGTCACTATAGTATGTCTTAATATTTCCTTAATCAATAAAGGATATTTAACAATTCTTGATCTTGCTACATCTATATAAGTCCATAAATCTACCGAATGAGGAGATTCTAAACGTTTCTTTAAAAAAGATTGAAAACGTTTATTTGTTGACCTTTTTTCATCTAACAAGTGTTTTGCCCATATTTGCGTTCGGCACCTTTCCAAGTATGGTTTTGTTAATGTTGGAATCTATAAAAATTATAATAAATTAAATACATTAGTATTATTATAAATTGTATTAAATATTTAATACACTAATTATAATAACTAACCCAATTCAGTATTATAGATCCAACAGTTTCTGTAAATCCATGTTTATCTCTTAGATCAAACAATTCATTTTTTAATTTGTTATGTATTTCAATAAGTTGTGTTATATTTCCAAAAACTGTAGCTAATTCATCAGAACTAAATATACCACTAGATAGCAGTGGTTCATAGTAAAAATCTTTGAGAATACATAAATCGCTAATGAATACATTTTCTCCACAGTATAACTCATAAATTGCTTCTTGCCTTTTTATTTCTTTTCTACTTAAAATATGATTAGGCTTATCCTTAGTATTTATGTTTGCTACATCAAGTATCCAACTCTTAATTGTAAAATTATTAGAGTTTTCGATATTATTCTTGTGCCTTAAAAATAATATCAGATTAAATAAATATTTTTGAATTATATTAAAAGTTAATAATGTTTTTGTAATTTAATATTGTTTTTTATACTTTTTCTTTAATGTTCCTGTATCTGTCTCATTATTCACAAATGACAAATCTGGTGTACTTGGTTGAATTGTGAAAGATCTATGTAAACTGTTTCTTTGTTTACTACCTAGAGTAGAAGAGGAAAAAATGCTGCTAGCCACTTCTGTAATTCTTCTTCTCTTCTTTTTTTTGCTTATATCTGAGTCGATAGATATGTCCATTGAACTGATACTGATGGCATCACTTTTTGGACGTTTTCTTGTTCGCTAATTTGTGATTAAAATATCACTTTTATTATCACAAACGGAAGCAATATGTGGAAGGCGTAATCAAATAGAAAAGTATTAAATATCACCGGGATTCAACAACCAAAATGAATATAAAAAATTTAACACGTAATTTATAAAATTAAGAAAATAAAAAAAAGTTATAATGTTACTAAACGTCGATTAAACTAACACAGGTTAATCGCGCATTATGTTTAAAATATCGACAGCATATAAAAACTCACCAGCCAAAATTTTTTTCGAGGTTCTTGGAATGCATCTTTATTTGTATTATTACTATCATCGTACATTTTTTTTAAATTTTTAGAAATTCACGTCGATTTGAAATACACACAGTTATTACGAGGTAACCGTTGAACTACTCCTTCTCAAGTAAAACGATCCATCACTACAAACTTAGCAAACGCTACAACTCTAAAATGTTTTCTATTTATTTGAAAATAATAATTTCCTTCATAGCGTCTTTTATTTTTACGGTATTATTTATAAGGTAGGAAAATTTTCACTCTGTTTTAATTAGTAGAGATGTTGTTTAATCATTAATCCCCCCTACTTTTTATTTGAAAGTACATGCAACATATATGTACGTGTAATCCATAAACGAATTTTTTTAAAATATAATTTGTGTTAAAACATTTTTTTGATTTGTAATATTATTGAATGGAAAAACCGAATATGCAAACATAAGTTTCATCTATAGATTTATAATAAGATTATAATATAAAGTCTTTGTTTAATTACACACATTCCAAATGGAAAAGACAGAAACCATTTCCAAACGTATATCTGTTTTGAATTTGTGCTGCCATATTTAAGTTGACATATTATCTAACATTTTATAAATAATCTCACTAATATTTCTATATTAAATTTGAGATAGACATAAAATATTTCATTATTCGATAAAAATTATTTCTTTTAAAATATTTATATGTGTCTTTAAACACGTGTTGAATGAAGAGGTTAGTGCAGATAACTAGTATATCTACAAATTTCTGATATATTTACATCCACTTTGTAATTATAATCTTTTTCGTTTAATTTTCGTTTAGGAAAAAGAAAGAACTACAAAAAGAATGCCATTCTAAGAAACAAATTATGGATAAAAAGAATATACAAACTGCTCAGTGTATGATCCCATACACGGAACGTAATGCATCTGGTCGCAATTGGGAAATATTTAAAAATTTAAAATTTAATTCATTACCACTGAATTCAGAGATTACTAGCAAAGAGAATATTAAAAAGAAAATATCTCCACGTCAAAAATCAAGGAAAAAACATCATTCATCTGTATCGAATATGGATCATATAATACATCATATATCACATAATGAAGAAATAGTTTATGATGAAAATAAAAAGAAGCTAACAAAACAGATAGCGATAGATTGTGAAATGGTTGGCATAAAGGATGGCATTCAAAGCATGTTAGCTAGAGTATCCATTGTGAACCGGCATGGTTTTTGTGTTTACGACAAATATGTGAAACCTAGAGAACCTGTTCAAGATTACAGAACTAAAGTTAGTGGTATTAGACCTCATGATCTTCAAAATGGAGAAGAGTTTGAAATTGTTCAAAAAGAAGTAGCAGAAATTTTAAAGGGTCGCATTTTAGTTGGTCATGCATTGAAACATGATTTTGATGTATTGTATCTTTCTCATCCAAGAAAATATCTACGAGATACTTCTACATTTGAAACTTTTAGACAAATATCCAAAGGAAAAACTCCTAGTTTAAAAAAACTTGCACTTGAATTATTGGGTAAAGAAATACAAACAGGAGAACATAATTCAATTGAAGATGCAATTGCTGCAATGCAGTTATATGTGCTATATAAAAATAAATGGGAATCTGAATTTTATTCCAAACGATAATATAGATAATATCACTGTGTGAAGAATCTGCAAATCATATGTACATAGTATACACCTAATGAACATTTATTTAAAAATTTATCTTTTAAATACAAAATTATAAGAAATACAGAAATATGTTTATTGTATATAATAATTGTATAACTTAATTATATATCTGACACATGAATTTTTTTTTCGAGTTCATAAGTTTTGAATCTATTTTTTGAATCTTGAATATATTTCTTTTATCATACATATATATGTCTCATTCGAATATCAATAGATAAATAAAATGTTATCAGAATGTATAAAAAAATTATGTTAAAAATTTTAAAATATATTTCTCTTATAATAGATTTTACATGACTATGATATTTTTAAACATTTGCAATAAGAACGAAAAATTATAATTTTTATTATTGTTTCTTATAATATTTCTATTGATAGGAAACTTTACTTTCTATACTATGTAAAATGTCTCATTTGTTTTTATATATTTTTAATCACTAATCAAGATATTAACGAGATAAAGCAGGCCCGTAGTTCTGTGGCGGCAAAATACTGTAAATGCATTCTCGATAGATCTTTTGTTTTTTATTTGAATAAAAACCATTCTCATATCTTTTATAAAGTATTTTTATTTCAGAAATGTCCGCAGAATCTGACATGTAGTCAGTATGCTGTACTAATACGTGCTGCATAAAGAATTTTTTAGAAAACTGCAAGAATAATAGTAAGACTGTGCGTCTGCTTTTTGAATTTTGATGTCAATTTGCAATTATTTAAAATTACGAAGTATTAAAACTTTTATACTGATAAGAAAAATCGCCTTTATCATTTGAGATTGAATACTCTATATTTTTAATTTTCATGTAATTTGTCACTTTTGGAAAAATTTGTACATTTTCACAAAAATTTTATTTTTTGATACTGAAAATGAGAGAGGGATTCTGTTTTCGAATTTATATTTAGAACAGGATATCATACGAGGATTATTCATTATAAAAACATATTTTAACAATTTTATAAATAATTTATCGAAATTATAACGTTAAAATCATTGATGACTACATCACAGTTAAAACTTTTTTATCAAAATATAGTCTAATGATAGTCTAATGATAAGAAATACATTGATTAAATGTATTTATCTGTTGGACTTGAAAGATGCTGTTGTAATAGTGTTATCAGTTCCTATTTCTTTTATCTATGCATGTTTGAAAGCATGGCATAGTACTACAAAAAATGATATATTTTTATTTTTAATATACTATTTTATAATAATATATTTTTGTTATATTAGTTTTTATTTTTCTTAAAATAATTGATTCAAACCTTTGCATATGTAAAAAATAATATATAATGAATGTGTACTAAATAAATGTTGGAAACTACTAATTACGTGATATCACAAAAAGAACCTGAAAATAATTCAAAATTCCTTTAACGTTTCAAGGTTGATATAACAGCAGATTTCCAAAGATGGAATAAGGTCGCTGATAATCATTTCTTCCCAACAAGAATTTTATACGTGTATCTCTTATATAGTAAATATATAGAATACACGACGACCTTGTTATCAGCAGCAGCCAGTTTTTGAACAACACATTTTAACTTTGATTATTTCGCGCTGAGCATTTCTTATTCACTCGGTGGCAGTAATACACGGATTCTACCAACAATTCTGTGTGAGATTATTTGATTTCCTTTTCTTGTAAGTAAATTGTTACATCAATCAACATAACTTGCATTCTGTCGCGTTTCCTTTTAAATACATATATGTACGTAGAATGATATTATGAAGTGCGTCTTTCCATAAAAATTTGAAAAAGTTCATCAAAAGAATTATTAATTATTACAACACTTTTTTATATTTTATTCTAAGTTTTTGATTGAGATATGTTTTACCATTCAAGACAAGAAAGTTAATAGTAAGGAAAGTGTTCTGCAAGAGAAAAAAGAAGGAACGTTCGCGTTTATAACTTTCAATCGTAACACCTTTCCCATATGTAACTTGACTACATATACTAGTACAGTATAAAATATCAATGACGATTAAATCTACATCTTCAACAACGTTTGATTTCATTTTAAGAAATTAATAATAAATGATAAATACGTTAAAAATCTTATCTTTTATCTTTTATCATAACTTAATCATTGTCGAATGAAAATAATAGCCCTAAAAAGAATAAGAAATTATAATCGTGTGTTAGAAGTTCAAGGAAGTGTGTTATTAAAAACAAGTGCATTTAAAAATTTACAGATTCATTTACCAAATTCTTAAGAAATATGAAGATCGCTGTGATCGGTGCTGGGTCAGCTGGTCTTGCTGCCCTACGGCATTGCACTTCCGGTACATATGAAGTAGTATGTTACGAAAAAACAGACCAAATAGGTGGTACATGGGTTTATAGGGAAGAGACTGGTTTTGATCGATATGGTTTACCAATACACACTAGTATGTACAAAAATTTAAGGCAAGTTAATTATGAAAAGACATTGAATACATGATAAATTGTTTATTATATTAATTTTTAATAATATATTCTGTCGTTTGTATTATATAGAACGAATCTTCCGAAGGAAGTGATGGGATATCCTGATTATCTTGTTCCAGATTCCCCCGACAGTTATTTGACTCGTACGCAAATACTTGAATTTCTAAATTCGTATTGCGATCGTTTCAAACTTCGCCAGTATATTCGGGTATTGTATAATTTTTATTATATTATTCATAATTATATAAATTTATTATATTATTCATTATTATATAAAAAGTATGTAAATGTACATCTCGCAGTTTTTACATAATGTTGAATTAGTGGAGCCATTGAAAGCTGACCGGAAGTGGACGATTAAAGTAAGAGATCTAAAAGAAGATACTGTCTCAACAGAATCTTTCGACGCAGTTATGGTATGCAATGGTCATTACTTCGAGCCTAGTATACCAAATTTAAAAGGTCAGGAAACTTTTCAAGGGCAACAATTGCATAGCCATGATTACAGGGTGCCGGATATTTTTACCGATAAGAGTGTAGTTGTACTTGGCGCCGGACCTTCCGGTATGTGACATTGCTTGTGGCCTTTCATCTTTTCTTCTTTGTGTTATAAAATATTTTCTTGATATTGTTTCTTATGAAAACAACAGGAATGGATTTGGCTTTGGAAATATCAAGGAAAGCAAAGCGTGTAATTTTAAGTCATCATTTGAAGGACCCTATAGGCACTATATTTCCTGAAAATGTTGTTCAGGTAATTGAGAACAAATAAGAACAAATAAAAACACGTCAAGAGGTAAGAAACTTTATTTCCAAGTTTCAATCTTTCAGAAACCAAATATAAAAGAAGTGACCGAACACGATGTTGTTTTCGAAGATTGTAGTAAAGAACTCGTGGATGTGCTTTTTTATTGTACAGGTAGATAATTTTAATTAACTTTATTTATAAAGCGGCAATTTAATTATCTTCCTCTTTTTTTTTCGATCAAAGGGTATAAATATAGCTTCCCCTTTTTGAGCGAACAATGTGGAATACGGGTAGATTCCAATATGGTGACACCATTATGGAAGCATCTAGTATCGATTAAAAATCCCACCCTGGCCTTGGTCGGTCTTCCCTTCTATGTTTGCGCTTTTAGCATGTTCGACCTGCAGGTACGATTTAAAGAAAAACTGATGTTATATAGCGTGATTTTTTATCGTGTGGACTAATATAGATCACCATTTATTGATCAAAGGTTCGTTTTCTCCTGCAATATTGGTCTGGCAAGAAAGACTTTCCTTCCAAAGCGAATATGTTAAAAGAAGAAGCAGAAGAATTAGAAAATCGCAAAAAAGAAGGTCTAGGGAAAAAGCATTTCCACATGATGGGATTTAAGCAGGGTCATTATTATGATGATTTGGCAAATACTGCAGGAATAACACCACTGCCTCCGGTTCTTACAAAATTGCATAACGAAAGCAGCACGCGGTTCTTGGATGATCTGGTGCATTATCGAGAAAGTAGATATAAGATCATCGATGATTATAATTTCATTCAACTTTGAAACAATGTATATTACTCGCGATACAAAATGAATCTGGCATATTTCCCAATCTTATACAATTACTGTAAAGGTATTTTGTGCTGGATATATCCAATTATAGGGATTATGTAAGATTATGTAAACTAAAAACTGCTTTCTTCTTTTGTTTTCTAATAGGATTGGTATATGAATTATAAACTGGTTTGTTAATGATAATATAATTACAAAATAAAAAAAAAATATTTTGTATCAAAACGAGAGTTGAATTTTATTCTAAATATTTTTCCAAGATAATTTGGATTCTCTTAAATACGTTTTGTAACTGAATGTCGCGCCATGAATTAATGCATGATTCAACCGCAAGGTGATGTCTGAACGTAGACATTAGTTAAATGCCTCGGTTGCAGTATTGAGTGTGATGTAGCTGTGTGACGACGCGCGAGTACGTTTCACTCCATTATCATTTCGAAATGATGAGTATTTCCGCGGTCCCGGAGTGATTCAGTGTCGAAATATTTCAGACCGTTTTTGACGGCTGATCCACGATGGTTGAATCAATTGGGAAGCATATCGAAAGAAATCAACGTAAGTTTTATAAAGAAAAGTATCTATGGAATATATATTTTCCTAGTTCACGCTATCATTATTTTCTATTTGCTGAATTTCTGCATTCTGTTTCGCTTATACTTGTACACGATTATACATGATACTGAAAGTAATGTATCGTTGCATAGCAGAAACCTTCTTGTTGGAACTTTCATCGTGACAAATAGTTTTATTTACGTCGGCGACGTTGCTTTTCTAGATAGAAAGTTGCATTCAATGATGCGCGATATGTGGGCTACGCACAGGCTCTCTCGGGTGAATGCATTCGTAAGAATGCATTCACGTCCGCCGTGTGTGTTCCTCTTCTGCTTTATGTAATTTTACTACGGACACCTGTCCGTCAGGCTCTCGAGTATCGTATCAATATCGGCATTTAAAAAAGGGTATCCAGAAAGTCTAGCTACTGTGTAGAATTTTCATTTTTATTATCAATTCAAATATTTGAAATAACAAATAAAGGAATTTTATCCAATCTGGATAACACGAACTGCTAATCCTAAAAGAACGAAAAGAATGTTTTAGAATGTCGGCTGAAATGTGTCACAATTCGTGAAATATAATCCATGATTCTGATACGGTGTGTTTCTTACCGACGATATTTCATTTCGCATTTTGTTGTACTATTGTATTACATATAGAATTTATAAATTAAGGCAATCTGTTGTTAACTGCAATGTAAAATATTTGATTTAAATTTGATGTATATGTGTGTATTTATAACTTTTCAAATTTAATTCTTTTATTATTTATAGGATATTAAGGTAGTACTAAAGAAATGTAAAATGGCTACAAAAACAGAAGATACATCTATTGATAATACTAATGATGGTACAAAAATTATTTGCTATTGCTTTTAATTGTATTTGTATGTATTGCATGCTATTACAATACGCGTAATTTTAGGAGAAAGCATGGACAAAGAGGTACTAGCAATTAGTGGAAGTGATGAAACTAATCATCGCATTCCACCAACATATTTGTATAATTCAGGTTCTGAACAAAATACAGGAATATCCAATCAGGAACAAACCAATAGAAATCATACTCAGGCTACAGAAGATCAATTAGGACCTCTACCACCAAATTGGGAAAAAGCTTATACAGATACAGGAGAAGTTTATTTTATAGAGTATATATAATATAAATTATATGCTTTTGGAAATAAATCATATTTATTATAAAATTATATAAGTTGATATTGTTAATTATTTTACAGTCATAACACAGGTACTTCTCATTGGTTAGATCCACGTTTATCTAAGTTTCAAAAAAGATCTCTTGAAGAGTGTTTGGATGATGAATTACCATATGGTTGGGAAAAAATAGATGATACTCTTTATGGTACATATTTTATTGATCATGTAAATCGTAGGACTCAATATGAAAATCCTGTACTGCAAGCTAAAAGGGCACAACAAAGTTTAGGAGAGAGAAAGAGTCCTAACTTTACAAGAAATCCTGATAAATTAAAAGGCCAGAGAATCAGAACAACTTTGATAAAGAGTTCAAGAGGATTAGGATTTACAATTGTTGGTGGGGATGACTCAGTTGAGGAGTTTTTACAAATTAAAAGTGTGGTACCAAATGGTCCAGCATGGTTAGATGGAAAATTACAAACTGGTAATATATATATATATATAATATATATTGACATAAAAACTATTGTTCTTTATCATAGAACAAGAGTTCTTTAAAATTTAAATTGATTTGAAATTTTATTACAGGGGATGTACTAGTATATGTTAATGATACATGTGTTTTGGGTTTTACACACAATGAAATGGTAAATGTTTTCAAATCAATTAGTAGTGGTGAAACTGTTGCATTGGAAGTGTGCCGTGGTTACCCATTGCCATTTGATCCAAATGACCCAAATACAGAAGTAGTTACGACTATTGCTGTTAATGCACCAGGTAACAATTTTATTGAATCATAGCATATTTTCGTTAGAAGAATAAATTTTATTTTCTCAGATATTTTAACAGAAGATCCCAGAATGTATATGGATTTAAACCCTGCTCTGCAAAGTAATGGCCGTTTCAATTTTTTGGATTCGACATTCTTGCCAGTGCATAGTCTTCAAAATGGTGAAAACCTTGCTACAACTTCTGTCAATTCAATGCCAGATCTTTGTATTTCGGATAAGATTAATACGATTAAGAGACCTAGTAGTACAGATATATTATTATCTGAAAGCAATGATTTAAATGATTGTAAAGACTCATCAATGTCTTCCAAATCAGAGTTTCTCAGTATTGCGATTGTAAAAGGTACTATGGGATTTGGATTTACAATAGCAGATTCAGCTCATGGTCAAAAAGTTAAAAAAATTTTAGATCGTCAACGTTGTAAAAATTTAATGGAAGGTGATATTTTAGTAAACATAAATGACATTAATGTGAGAAATATGTGTCATTCAGAGGTAGTACAAGTTTTAAAAGATTGTGCTCGCAATGAAGAGGCATTGATACATGTACAGAGAACAACATCCAAATCGAACGAAAAGAAGGAAAAGAATTCACAGGATTTCTTTAGAAGTAAAACACCGACAGCTGATATTTATAGTACTCAAACAAAAACTGTTGTTCCAAGTCGACCAAAAACCCCACTTATCGATACTAGGAATCGTCCAAAGTCTCCACCCAATGCAATCAGATCAAATTGGAATGAACAAAGCGAGAACGAATTAAACCCACTCGATAATCGATACAAATATTCAGAATACACGCATAGCATGTATTATAACGATCCGTATAAAGCAAATATTGCAAATTTATCTGACAATTTTGTTACAATGACGAATTTAGATGATGAATCTGTAAGAAATGGTGTAAAAAGAGATTGGGTTACAAATGATAAATTAAACATAAGTAATGATGTATATTCTATTGATATACCTCACCATGATAACATGTTAAAACAGAATGGATGTTTACATTCAGACTACTATAAAGATTTGTATACATCACAGTCCCATTCTCAATATAGTGAACAGGATTATAATGTATATTCCATTGGTCAAGAACAAAATGTTGATACTGGTGAAATATGGGATAAACGGAAAGAGACTACTAGTTTTGAACATGAGCAACCACATTCCAGTTCAATATCACGGTAAATAGTTTGGATTCAGTTTATATTTTCATTAATTATATATTCAAATATAAAAATTATTTTTCATATTCTTAGATATCCTCAATATAGCAACGAGTTAGTGTGTCCGATCGTGCCTGATATAGAATGGATAGAAACGCTGGTAACTTTAGTAAGGCAAGATACAGGATTTGGATTTAGAATAGTTGGTGGTACAGAAGAAGGATCTCAAGTGAGTTAAAAAATTGCTTATGCCTTCAAGTGAAAGAAATCAAAAGTATTGATAATCAAAAATAATTGTCAGCAGGTTTCGGTCGGACATATAGTACCTGGTGGAGCAGCAGATTTAGATAACAGATTAAATACAGGTGATCTAATAATGTCTGTCGATGGTGAGAGCGTCATGAATTCGTCGCATCATCATGTCGTTCAGTTAATGATAGCTGCTGCACAGAACGGTAGAGTCACTCTAGGAATTCGTCGTCGAATTAATACTCAAGAACATCTTCCAGAAAATCTTCAAACTTCATATAATAGACAAATGAATCTCCAGTATCCTTATGATGTGACGGTTACTAGAATGGAAAATGAGGGTTTTGGTTTCGTTATTATTTCCTCGGTTAATAAAGCTGGTTCGACAATAGGTAGAATAATTGAAGGTTCACCCGCGGAAAGGTGCGGGCGATTAAATGTTGGTGATCATATTCTTGCCGTTAATCATGTAGATATTACAAATGTTTGTCACAAAGACATTGTGAATTTAATTAAAGACTCGGGTTATTCCGTTACATTGACAATTGGTTATCCTCTTGATGATTGTTGTAGTAATACGTCTCTATCTCAAAAGGTATTATATTAACTATGAAATAATTTGTAATTAAATTCAATATATAATCAATAAATACAGCATTTAATAAATTTAGGATGAACTAACATGCGATGGAGATGGAGGTCAATATCATGCTGTGGAATTGACTCGTGGAACTAGAGGATTTGGTTTCAGTATTCGTGGAGGACGTGAATTTCAAAACATGCCATTATTTGTTTTACAAATTGCAGAAAATGGCCCAGCATCTATTGATAATCGATTAAGAGTATGATGATATTAGAATACAATAATTATATAATTGATATAATTGCTATAATTGGTATGTTTTTAATACAAATTTTAGGTCGGTGATCAAATAATCGAAATAAATGGAATTAATACTAAAAATATGACACATACAGAAGCGATTGAAATTATACGAAACGGTGGACCATCCGTTCGACTTTTAGTTCGACGCGGTTGTCAGATGCCTTCAGTGGTAGGTGCTCCTCCACACCTCTACGATATGAATATATGAAATTAACCATCCTGAATAACATTAATATTAAAAACATTAACGATATTTACTTTTGCAAGTGATGATACTAATGCTAACGTTACCCTTTTATAACTTTCCTTGATAATTTTACTTTGAAGCTTCAGAGTTTAACATTAGGTATCATAATATAAAAAAAAAAAACATTTAAAGACAATATGAAAAAGAAAGGAATGATTGCAAGAAGTTGTTTTATTACAGTGAGAGTTAGATTAATAAAAACACACACACACACTGTTTTATAGTACTATATCATTTAGTACAGAAATATCTGGTGCAAATGGGAAACAGTGTGTTATATTGTATATTTTATGGAGTTGGTTATACATATATGTAGGTATGTAGTAAGATATATACTTTTTATATGCGACACATTGAAATCAATTTTTACAACACTCACATGTCCAGCTTTTATATTTGATAATATGACTAGAGCTTCAAATTATACATATTGCAATTCAGCAATATTAATACAAATATTGTAGACATGGTTGTTGATTTTCAATGAATATAATAGTATTAATATTAATTATGTATTAATTATAATATGTTTTAATAATTAAAATAAGACGTTTTATATACTTTTAAATTGAAGGAAAGAATATGTGAACGACTTTTCTTGCAGCTACGAATATGTCTTGTGAAAAGTCCGATTTATAGGGATGATACTCATTCTAACAAAATTGGACTGGTGCTAACTCTATTTAAATTATCTAATTTCTGAAAAAACAAAAATATTAATTCATCCTAACACGTGTGATAGCTTGAGAGTATTGTGCCTTACGCGTGTTCCATATTTAATAACAAAATTATTAAGTAAAAACTTAAGCTTCTGGAGTAATTATAAATTTTTTTATTGAACTTTATTGTAGAGTAATCTCACAATCGACCAAATAAGTATTCGACCGATTGATGAGGGCACCCCACGCAGACATTTATTGAAATTACACGAAATGGGTGTGTACCCTAAAAAACGTCAGAAAGTTCGATTTTTTATTTTACTCAACTGTTGTTCATCTAAAAACAAATATTTATGATATGCAGCTATTTGATATAAACTTAATATTTTATTCATAATTTCGTAGAATTAGAGATCAACTTTCAAACAGAGAATTTTCAGAATCTTTTACTATTAGATTATTTTAGATTTTTCATAATGTAATTGTGTATTGAAATTCATTGTATAAACGTGAATTGATGTAACCAAATACGGTAAACTGTGAATGTTAATGGAGTATGATCTATTTGTAATAGCAAATAGTATTGATACCCGTGAAACATACAGAAGTTACCTATTTTAATGTATGTATAAAAAAACGATTTTGTACTGACAAATTTTCAACAAAAAAATCTCTGAAAATAGACTGAAAAGTACCATCTAAATTAAATATTTTTATATACTCTGTAATAATACACTCAGGAATCTTTTGATAAATTCAAATATTATTGTGATTTTAATCATGAAACTTTTGAGTATACAACTAATGAAGAATCTCATTGAATTTATGCTTTATTTTCTTACTTTTTGAACAACATTTAAAGAATATATAGTGTCGATATTGTTTTTGTTTTAATATAATATTTATTATTAATTGTAATAGATATATATGCATATAGCAATAATTAAATTAAGTACTGATGCAACCAAAGAATTAAATGCACTCAACAAACATTTCAAGATACAGTGCAAAAGATTAATACAAAAATATATGTTACTGCATTCACATTATTTAAAGCTCTCGTTCAAAATATTATCTTTCTCCTATTAATTATAAAATGATGTTTGTAATAAATAGATTATGACGAGGAAGAAGTCATTGACGGGATTAAATGAATTCTTTTTATGGAAACGATTTTTTCCAATCTTTTTGCGACATTAAAATACGTTGAATGTTGAATGAAATTAATGAATATATTTTTTTACTAGTAAGTTGATAATAAGTAAGGAAGAGTACTTAGTAAAATACAGTAAATTAAATAAAAGATTGACTTAGATTGTATTTCTCAAATATTAAAAAAAGCATTTCAAGAAATTTGAATATATGTGTGAAATTTTCATTGTTCATATATTTACTTATATAAGTAATTTTGTTGTATATCTTATCAACGATAAACAGTGATTAACGCATTTATGTATCACATTTTACTTATACTACAGTTATTATGTTTATTTTTATAATAAGGTATGCATAATACATATACGTATATAGATATACACACAAATCTATAGAATTTGTACAATATGTTGGATAGTGCAAGCAAGTTTAGAGTAATTGTAAATATATATATTAAAGAATTATATGATATTATCGATAGTTATAAGCTTTTCGTAAAGAATTTTAAAAATAATTTTTTAATTGAAATGTACTTACTATCTTGTAATTTTATTATTAAAAAACAAACTCCATGTCTTCTGTAATAATGTTACAATTTTTTTTCTTACCAATGCGTATTGTATACGTTCATTATAAATCGATATATATTCTTACTGTATTGTAAAATTATTTCGTCGTCAAATTTGTTATTTTATCACTGCCATGTAATTATATAATTTTTCCAAAACATTTTACACTTATTGCAGACAAGTATTCAATATTGTGTAAGTTCTTTGTTACTATCGATAATCATTGGTTGCAATGAACCAAGTGAATTTGAAAGATTGATGTTGTTACTAGAATTTTATTATAAGATCATCTCATGTTGTTGATACGTATGTCGAAAATAAAGATCTATAATTAACAATGTTGAGTCTGTTCTTAAATGAAAATTATTATCCGTTGACAGAAATCCGAAAATATGAAAATTTTAATAGTACAAGCAAGAATGAGAATCTGAACGATTTAAAAGCGGCGCTTATTAGAAGATAATCGCGGTCAACAGTGAATCTGCGCCTATATTTCCAAGAATGCAGCGCTTGACGTCTTATGACGTCAGCCACTGTCAGCAAGCCACAACTTTCAAAATGCCTGCTTTTTATGTTTCCTATGTTCTGTTATCTTTGAAACAATTAAGAAGTGTAATCAGAAATGTTATGGGAATGTTATATTTGTTCAAATTACACAATAAATTTGCGTAATCGTTTTTGCCGTGTCGTTCGATTTTTCACGAAAGATCATTGACACGTTGGCAGCATTGTCGATTGATCGTACGTATTTTACTTAGAATGTGTATCATATATATTTATTCCTGGGTCCCTCTGGGCAAATGTAAACAGAATTTTTTCGCAAATATGAAGTGACACGACCGATTTATACGGCTGCAGCTCGTGCATGGAATTTGCAACTCGTGATAATCGTGTCGACTGTCTTAGCTATTCACAAGACCCCGAGTATTAGTCTTGGACGCGTTACGGCAACCAGAAAATATACCTAGCGGGTAAAACGGGTTTACGTACGACCACCCGTAGTGTTAAGTTCAGTGAAATAGTGCGGAGACGATCTTGAAGACATGGTAGTGCAATGAGGGATTTGCAGAAATTCGTCGACTGTTTGCTGACGGTAAGTACCATGAAACCAGTGGCATCTGCGACTACTTTGGACTTTCCTCGCGTATGATACGTCGTATTGGTCGATTTCTCTGTGAAATGAGTCTATGCTTTCTTAATCATCCAATTTTTCCTGTTTGATCGGACGAATATTTTCTACGCGCTAGAGAATATGCTACATGGTATCATATACGATGTCAAGCCTCGTTACATTGTTCGTGCATTTCTGCTA